GGAGTTTTCCTGTAAAAAGTATGGCAAGTACCTAGCAGGTAATCAAATAACTTTCTGGCTATGAAGACACTAAGCGAAGGGGCTAGGGTGCTAGACTGGTAGTTTCAGGGGTTCCTTTTTCTATTTTCTACAATAACTAATGTAAAACAAAAGCTACAAAAGAGTAAACTTCAGTGGATTCTAGAATATTGCAAATGTTGGTGTTCCCAAGAATCAGTTGAAATCTGTTTTTACAAGATTTGTTTGCTAATTTATGTCATAATTTGGTGGCTGACTCTGTATTTTCACCAGACCTGCAAAGGAACTTAATAATACACACAGAAGGTTATTCACTTCACAAGGTTGAAGAGTTTGGCGAAGGCAGTGGAAGGGAACAATCTAGGTCTAGGACAACATAGCTGATTTGGAAAGTGAGCTGAGTTGGTTAATTTTTCCAAATCAGCTATGTTGTCCTAGATTGTTCCCTTCTCCTGTCTTCTCCAAACTCTTCACCCTTTATGTGAATAACCCTGACAGACTGCAACTTTACCATTCAACCAAAATTGATATTTCTGGGTAGATCTATTTTTTAATTATCTGCCACTAGAAATTATTTTATAAAATTACAATATTCAATCAATTCTGACAACTTGTAAAGCAGTCAATGAACTGAGTTGGCTCTTTTGCCTTCACATGCAGAGATATTTATGTGGCTGAAATACCAGAAGCAGCAGTGCAACGACATACTTTTGCACCTCACCTTGGTATCAAAAGTGAAGAGAAATTATTAGACTTTTTCTATAACATCCAATCCCATGGAACTAGTGTTTTTCACTAGCAAGGCTCAGCCCTTTTAGGTATTTTGCAAAGAATTTTAAACTGACCAGTCACGGTAATCAAGTGTACATCCTGACAAAGCGCCCAAAGTGCAGCCCTGTACTTTACTAGTTGATTCTAAGGGTGCTATTAACATAAACCTTGCTCCCAGTCAGCCTTTGCTGACCACTATGGCTTCAACATTTGGCATTTCAGGAATATTGTTTGTTCACAAGATACAGCATTGCCTTCTTATAACAGAATGCTGGTTACATGTCCTCAATTCCAGCACAAAACCCCAAAACAAGGAGCTCAATCTCTTATGGGAAAGTGGGCCAAGTCATGCATAAAGTCATGCATAAATATAGCCATTACAGTACAGAGCCAGTATTACTATCTTGTATACAGGTTTTGGTTTCTTTTGTACTGCTTCATTGCAATTCCTAATGGCTGTTCCCCTAGTTTATCCACTTTGTGTGACATGTTAACTGCTGAAATAAATGAGTAGCTAGAAGCTCTGTTCTGCTGTTATGAAATATTTCCTTATTCTCCCAGCAGTCAGTGCTGTAATACAAATGAGCTCCTTTCCACTCTTGCAGCATGTAGTCAAATTCTGCTTTTTAACTAAGTCCCATGCCCATAATCTTGCTGCTGACGGCAACATGCTAGTGACATGATCACTAGAGAGGGCTGAGAAACCTCTCACCTGTTTCTACAGAGTTGTTTCTAGCCAGTGAGGTGTCATTCCCATAGAATGCTGCAGAATCTTCTTGGACAGCATTGGAGCAGCATTGACACCTCGATGGTCAGGGAGTTAAGCTGTACAAACAGGCAGGTGGTATCTTTGCTCTAGCTAACAATTCTGTTGCTGGCAAGTCATTAGGATCACAAGTGTGACATGGGCCTGACTATCACAGGGGCAGGGAACAGGACACTGTACACATTACATAAAACAAACACTCAAATAGCAGTTATCATTCTAAGTCAGTTTTGAGCAGATATAGCCATCCTTGGCACTTCAGCTATTGTGGAACTACAATGCTCATAAGGCATTGCAGGCATGACTCCCAGAGGCAGAGGCATGTGGTTTCACCACAACTGGAGTGCCGATGTTGCCTACCCCTGATCTAGAGTATAAGAACAACACAAACTCAGTTATTTCCTTTTTGAATAAGCCCCAGTGAGGGGGTGGATGGCATATGGGGAGGATATTAGATTATATTAGATAATCGTCTACCTTTCTACCTTACTCTCTGTAAAAAAAATGACTGTACGTCATGTATGAATTTCTGTACTGTGAGTGCATGAAGGAATGGTATAATTTGTACACTTGCCTGCTTACAGAACATATCACAGAGTTGATGTGTATTGTTATTTTTTTTGTTTTTTGTTCCTTTTACAGTAGTGTCATTGCATGCCCAGTATTTCTGTTCAGCCAGAGGGTCTCGCCAAGTATTGGCCTATTAAGACATATTCAGGGTGAATGTACAAGGCTATTCAGGGCTATGTTAGGCTTCTGATATCAAACATTATCAGTGTGAGGAAAATGCATTTTAAAGCCCAGCTCCAGCCAAATGTTTTAGGTTTGTACAGATGAAAGGGTTAGAATCTCAGCTAGGGTTTTGTGGTGTCTCCGGCGAATGTTTACCCTTACGTCTCCCGCTAACAGAGAAGCATAATGACAGGAAGTGATGGAATATATCTCTGATGAGGGAAGAGACAAAGATAAATGCACAATTATATTGGAGGGGTATTAAAACATCAGTTTTTTTTTATTCTTTCCCCCGTGTCTTCCTGTCCTTTTGACATCTGTACTCCCTCAACGGGTAGACTTTATTAATTTTCCAACACACACATAAATAAATCTTTAACCAAAACATTAGAGTGCAGAATATAAAAGATCTTGACCACATTAATATTAAAATATGTAATTGGTACAGCTCAAAATGTTCAACACAGGTCAAAGAAAGTAGTTAGTATGATTGCATATACACTAGGATAAAAGATCATAGAGAAGCGGCCCAACCAGGACAGCATGAAGGGGAGAAGGATGAGGAAGGGGAGGTCCTGGACAGGGGAAGGCAGAGCAGTACAGGTTAGGAGAGCCTATCCATGAGTATTCAGTTGCATCCCATATAGTAGGCAAGAATACATTCCAAGTGATGTATCATGATGGTAGTGGATCATCCCCATAAGTGTCCTCTTATGTCAGCCCCTGTGCCACTACTCAGTCAGCCCAGACCTGATCAGATTTCTTAGGGCAGTTGCAATCCATCAGTTTATTCAAGCACTCCCTCATTTTAAGTCATGGTGTCATCAGGATAGGACATTAGGGAAAATATACCTAACAAGGACACAGACGGCAATAAAAATTTTACATCAGTTCTGACTTGTACTCAACCAATAACAAAAGGGAAAAACAACAGTTTTGGCTGGAGTTGAGCTTTAACCTAGCATTTTTTTTACAATGTTCAGGAAATACATTTACATGTTGTAAGTGTTTTCCCATTATCTTATATTTAAATATATTAAGTTACTGTAAATTAAACAATGTATACTTTCCTTCAAAATATGTATTTCTCTCTGTACTGGAATTTAATAGCTCATGTTCAATTATTCAAGCTTATGTGCTTGTGATTCTTGATATCTGTATACAAACATGCCACTAAGGAGGAAAAAAAATACTAGATTAATAAATATAGATCAGACTGATATATACAGTCCAAAATGTATGCTTCTAATCACATGAACGTACCCTCAGTAAAGAAAGAGTGAACCTTCTGGTATTCTTATTTGGTTCATTTCAAATGCCCTGAATACAGACCTCTGAATAGGCCTTACATAGAATGACGGTCCCTCTGGCAGCTCTGTCGCATGCTGAAATAAAAAGATAATTACACTTTATTTTGTTTGCAGACAACTATAATTAAGAAGAATTGGAAACGATCAAGTAAGGTAATTGGTAGCACATGATAACGCAATTCTAAGTTTGCCTAAGTAGATCTGGCCTCAGACTTTTTTCCTCATAGCACATATATACATGTATGCTTCTACCTTCAGAGCATCCATGTTTATATGAATTGCAGAGACATAAACAGCAAAGGTGCTGCTGTTATAGCAGGGAACCAATAGACTTTTGTCTATAAATATTCCATTCCAATCAAATTAATATTTTCTTTAAAAAGAGTTCCACCCCATGATGGCTGCTGTGACATTGCATCATGGTCCTATAATGTGTTTGATTGTTATAGTAAACAACTTACATTCCACTGATGAACTGAATTTAAGTGCGAATTGAGCAAGAGTCTGGCCTTTTGATGACTACACAATAAATGGTTTAACTGGGACATGTTTTTGTGCACTAACCCAGCTTCCTTCCCTGCTTATATTGTATTACAGCTGCTTATATTGCATCATGACATGACTTTTGTTATACTGCCTAGAGCAAATGAGAACGCGGGTCATTGCAGTCTTTATTCAATGTTTAAAGTGATTCTGTCACTCTAAATGCCAACCCGGCATGCCACCCTGCTGCTCCCTATTGCCTCCCCCCTTCTACCTGCTGTATTATTGTTATTATTATTATTACTATTGCTTTTTTTATGCTTACACGTTTCTAATGTCTTCAGTCTTGATACTTGACAGGCAGTCTTCTTCAGATTTTCTCTGACTGTGATGCAGATAGCATCACTGTCGCAATGGTGTCAGTGCTTTTCTCTGCGTCATGATAGTCACTTTAAAGTAAGGTGTCCGGCTCATTCGCTGACCGCCATTATGCAGGAAAATTAGATGACCGCACACCAGCTATGTCCAAACTCTTTCGAAAAAGAACAATACAAGAGATTAATTGAGAGGCTTGACGCGTTTCATACACACCAAAATTTAGTCTTAATGTGTGACTCTATGGCAAACGCCAGTGTGTGTGAAACGGACCAGAGGTCTCAAATTAGCTCTTGTGTAATGTTTTTATGAATGAATAAGGAAAGAGTGGAGCCTGGCTTTCCCTGACTTAAGTCTTGTGAGGTTGGACTGTTCTGTAGTGAGCCCTGCACTACTTCTGTAGTTCTGTGGACTACAGAAGACCTTCATTATGGAGATGAAGAGAGGGGAGTGTTCTGTAGTCCAAACAGAAGTGTGCAGCCAAGATAGTTTTAGGCAACCTCAGCATCCCAGCTGCTGTGAAACTACAAGTCCCATGGGGCATTGAAAGACTCTGACAGCCACAGACATGATGGGATTTGTAGTTTCAGCAGAGCTGGAGTGCCTAGGCTGCCAAGTGATAATGGTGCTCCTCCATAGATACAGTACAGTGAGCATTGTCTACCTAGAAAAGGTGTGGTGAAAAGTGTGTTGCTAGTAGGATCACCATGTAAAAATAAAGGGAAGAAACCATGAAAGAGAAATCTAATGAAGCCACCGCATCTAAGTTTTGGTAAGCTCCAGTGTATTACATTGTTGTGCATGGCTTTAGATGCCCTTACTGTGGGCAAGAACATTCTCATCTTCTGCTCTTATTTGCCCCTGCAGTGGGGCTACTCTCACATTGCAAAGGTTAAGTGCTCATTTTGGTGTAGGGAGGAAAATAACAAAGATATACTCAACCGATCCTCTGAGCTGGCCAGCTGGGATAATGCTTCCTCCTGCCTGTCTCCTCCTACTCTGCAATGATGGAATGTCCCTCAGCATCTTCACGTCCTATACACTGTGTATTGGACGTTATGAGTTACAGGACCTTAGATCAGTGCAACAGAGGGGGAGAGGGGCTCCATGGACCAGTCTAACGGCAAGCTGCTCGAAGGATCGGGTATAACCTTGTTATTTTCTTACCTAGACATTTTGTATTTGTTTAATTATTTTTATATCAATGTTTTTATTTATTTTCTTTTTATTGCTATAACACTGCTATAACACTGGTGCTAACAAGCCCCTGTGTGATAGCATTTGGAGGTGACAGGTTCTCTTTATTGAACCTGTCACCTCCAATACCGGAGTACTAGCACAGTACTGTGCTGGAACTCCTGTGACAGCTGAGAGGGAAGGCTGCAATTCCAGCTCTCCCCTCTCACTGTTTACACGGAGCAGAGCAGAGAACGGACGTTCTCCGCTCTGCTCTCCGCTCTTCATCCTGAAGGTCTCCAAAGAGAGGTACATGGCGGTGGGGGCGTTGGGGGGAGGACGGACCTGCATGCTGCATACGAGTGATCTCGGCAACATCGCAAAGATGACTTGTAAGCGAACGAGCGGCTTCCCCACTCTACATTTACTATCCGCCCGGTGCTCGGAACTGCATGTCCCGGGCTTCGGGAGATCCCACACCCCTGATGCCCCTCTGCTCCCTGCTGCCCTGAGGCCGGGCCTCGGTGGCCTTGTGTGAAATCCTGCCCTGGGTAGCCCCATTGCAAGGGTTATCTAAAATGTTATCCGGAGATGTGCTTTAATTTTTCATAAACTGGAAGGTGAAATCTAAAGCGTTACTAGCGCCAACACCTCCACTTTAATTCTGGTTTACTTTTCCCCAGCTTTTATAAATCAGCCCATTGTCAGCTGGGCCTATTTATGGAGAGATTAGTCCATTTTCACATATATACTTCTCAATGTTATTTGTAGTTCCTTTACCTGAATTCATTCTTGGATTTTTTTCCCTTAATATAAATAAAAATCTACAGCATTACTCATTTTCATTCTAAAAATGTTCATCGCTATTGAGACATTCAGCTCCTTAAAGGAAAAGCCAAATGATTCCTTTGCAAGTAATGATATTGTGTCGTTATGTAAGGACAATTTAACGGGATGATTTTGTTGTGGTCATTATGGGATGATATTGCTGCAGGAGAGTTAATTTTAGCATGCACTGCAGAGAACTAAGACTGTCTTGTCCTTTCTCATTGTGTCCATGTATCAGTGCCACTAATGGCTTGTGTCTGTTGAGAACTTATTTCTGGTGACACTCTCATAATATAAGACAGTATTTACTGCTGAAATGAGAAGGATAAATAGCAGGCTTCTGGACAGTGAAAAAGTAATTGCCGCTCAGCTCTGGTTTATACTGCAGCAAATGTCTGTAACAAATGTGTTATAATTCTGAAACCATATATCTTCCTGCCATAGCAGGCGAAAGGAAGAACATGATCATTTCTGAAAGTTAATGCGTTTGGATAAAAAGTTATTTATACACTTAATAATCCAAGACTCAATAGAAGAGATGACATCCTTTAAATATAGACCGTTTTCTAACAATACATGAACAAGCATTGAAAGCTTGAAAAATGCAGTGACTCTAGTGAAGAGACTATATGCAGCACGTCAGTGCAATATAAACACATTGAAAAGAATATATTTCTCCGCTTTTTTCTTGCTGAAAGGGGACCTGACACTTTGCAGAGAAAATAATGTAAAGGAACAGGGTAGGGTGTCTTGTAGGGTACACACCATGCCAGTTTCCCGTAGGGTATGCAGTATGTTTGCTTTACTCGTTTATAAAGATTTTTCTGTATATTTCAAATGTGGCAAAAAAAAAAGTCAAACTCAACTCCAGCCAAGGGGGAAATAAATTGCACCTTTGAGAGTTGTCGCCACAACGGGGGTCCTCACTCCAAGATTTCACCTCTACTCCTGTTTCAATTACAGCTGCAAAATTTTAGATTCCCTCTCACAGTCTCTCCAGGTAACAGCGGTCACAAGTCCAGAATGTGCGTGTGAGTGTCCCCAATCAGGACAGAGCAGCAAAAACCTGACTGACATTCTAATCCTTACACACTATATCAGAGGTAGGCAAACTCCGGCCCTCCATCAGGCATTGCAAGACTCTGACAGCTACAGGCATGCGGATGCATTTGTATGATGGGATTTGTAGTTTCACCACAGCTGGAGGACCAGGGTTTGCCTACCCCTGCACTATATCCAAAACAAAATACAGTTTGGGCTGGAGTTCCACATTAAGCCCCACTCATTTGCAGCCTACCCAGGTTATCATAGGACTCTCCCCCATCTTGTCCACATGCCATTATTAGAGTTATGAATATTTTACTGAAATATGGTAGGAATACCCAACATGTGTAACGCAATTGGCATTTTCATACGTAGGCGCACCCGACGCATATTTACGTGACAATGCGCCTGCTCGCAGGGGCGGGGGACTTTAAAAAAATGTTTTTACTATTTTTACATTTAATTGATTTAATATTATTTGTAAAAAATTTTTTTAACTCTACTTTAATTGCTATCACATAGGGGGGCTTAAAATCCCCCCCGTGTGATAGCATAATGGCAGTGACAGGTACTTTTAATGTGATGCTGGGGGTACAAAAGACCCCTAGTATCACCTTTACACTTGACATAAGCTATTGAAGTGCAGATCGCACTTCAATAGCTCATTTGCTGGGCTTCAGGAGCCCAGCACTGACAGCCCAGGGACCGGAAGTGATGCAATACACGTCGCTCCTGGTCCCATAGTACGGGGAGGGGATCGGCGAAGGGATGTTTGCCGCTCTCCTCCCCAGCTTCCCGCCAACATCTGGCAAGCCGGTCCTGGGCCTGTAGGAGGGAGCAGCGGAGCCCAGGAAACACGGCATCATTTTTGGATGCATAGGGTCATAAGACTGCAAACTTTTGTTCGGTTGTGTCTCTTAGACAGGATCCTGAAGTTGCTATTTTCCTAACGTAATCAAGTTCCATTTGTACATGCTATTGGCTTTTGCAGGGCTTGGAGCAAAGCTAAGTCTGAAAAGCAATTGTGATCAGTGGAGAAATGGTTATATGGGTGACTGATCTCACTTGTATTGTTACAGAAATAAATTTAGCAAAGAGAAAGCACATTTCCGCTGTTAAAAGCTCTAGTTTTCTTCCTGATAGGACTCTCATTTCCAGTTGCGAGTTATACTGAGCTGCATTATTGACCTTTCAAGATAACTTACATTTCCTAATGAGGAATGCCTCAGGACCATTTCACTTTTTCA